AGAGTTTTCTGCTCCTTTGTGCCCGGGAAAAGGTCAGCATCATCCAGTTTCTTGAATAGGTGCAAAAACTCAGGGCAACCACATTAATCGTGATAAAATACATATAACAAAATTTACCACGTGAAACATTCTTAAGTGTACAGTTTAGTGGTATTAAGTACATTTACATTGTGTAACCATCACCACCATCCATCTTCAGAACTCTCTTCATCTTATAAAACCGAGACTCTGTCCCCATTAAATACTAACTCCCCTTCCCTCCACCCAGCCCCTGGAAACCTCCATTCTACTCTCTCTCTGATTTTCACTACTCCAGGGACCTCATATAAGTGGGATCATACCATACCTGTTCTTTTATAACTAGCTTATTTCACTTAGCGTAGTTTCCTCAAGGTACATCCAGGTTATAGCATGTACCAGAATTTCCTTCCTTTTTAAGTCTGAATAATATTCCATGGTGTTTAGATGCTACATTTTCTCATTGGTTCATCTACCAATGGGCACTCGTGTGGCTTCTCCATTTAGCTATTGTTAATAATGCTGCTATGAACATATCTAAATATCTCTTTAAGACACTGCTTTCAGTTCTTTTGGATACATACCCAGAAGTGGAATTGTTGGATCATGCACTAATTCTATTTTTATTTTTTGAGGACCTATCTTATTATTTTTCACAGTGGTTGTACCATTTTACATTCCCACCAAAAAGTCACAAAGGTTGAAGTTTCTCTTCATCCTTGCCAACGCTTGTTACTTTCTGTTTTTAAATAGTAGCCATCCTACTGGGTGAAGAGCAACTACATTTTAATTGAGAACTTTGTTCTCAACTGAACAATCTTATGCTGATATTTTTACCCATTTGAACATGAATAAGGCTATTTCTCCAGTCTGCCTGCTAGCATTTGGTTATGATGTTGTTGTTATGTGAAAAATGGGCAGACAGATCCAAGCAGAAAGACATAGCCAGGCTCCTAGGCCATGAGAAAACTGAAAAGAACCAAGCAGAGTGCTTCCTAAGGGGGCGAGGGGAATTCAGTGCAAGTGGGGACAAGGCCCCGCTGAGCTGGTGAATGCCAGACTCATCAAATTACACCTCTTGGACTAAGATCCTCATTAAGGGCCTGCACCTCAGAGACATCTTGGCCTACCAAGGTGCATCATTATGGAAGACTGGGCATGATAACAGTAATTTAAATGAAGCTAAAAGAACAGTCTAAATTAGAACAGGTACTCACATTTCCACTTCTCTCAAGGCATCTCTGTGGGATAAAGAAAGCTCGCTGGAGGACTCCTGGGCAACATAATCTTTTGAAGGTGAACGTGACAAGCCTGGTGAGCAAGATTTAGAAACAGGTAGTGCATCCCATAGTTTTAAGGGTTCTATTGTTGTCTCCCAAGTCATTTCATTACAGGACAGTTTTCAGCAGCAGCTTGGTCTATCTACCCTGTGACTCAGTCATGTTCTGCTAGGGATTTCCATCAAACGCTACCTTGTCCTGACTAGCATGGTCATTGCTAGATAGCTGCCTGGCTTCCTATTAGGGAGAGTTTCAACACGACCCTCTTGAGCAGTGTGGGAAACGTCCAGCCCTCAGGCCGTCTATGGCCTGTTAGATCATCTGGTCTGGCCCTGCCAAGGCCTCACCAAAGAGAAGCAGCTCCAGACATCACATTAGGGGTGAGTTAATTAAATGTTTGACCAAATAGAGCAGGCTAATTTTTAAGTTGGTAATTTTGTATGGCCTGCGAATCATGTTATAGATATCCAAATGACCCTTAGCAGAAAAAAGGTTCCTCACCTCTGCTCTTGAGGCATCCTGAGTGGAAGATGGAGTACTTTTTCCTGCATCTGCCCCTGGCTGACCTCCCACAACCTTTCACACACTCTGTACCCAGTGGGTGACAATAAGATAGCTTCCTGGGAGAAAGGGACAAGGGAAGTGTCCCTCTCTCCCTGTACTTCTCAACAACGCCCGACAGAGGAAATGCACAGCATAGGTGTGGGAGTTTGGCTGACTTGTGGTAAAAAATAAACATGGTTTCCTGTTTGCCTCTTATTTTCATTCCTAAGTGGTGAGGCTTGCTGGGACTTCCTGTCAGGACTAGCATTTTATGCAGGCAAAGACGGTGTCATTTGGGGACCAAAAAAGACCGATACCTGCAACCTTCCAAAAATTCTCACCTCTCATTCATCAGTATCATTCCTTAAAGTAATAGTGAATATTTTAAATTGGGCTAAGTCATTGTGCTACTTGGAGTGTTGAAAGATTGGCACCTGGAAGCATTGTAATTTTTTCATGTGTCTGATTAGTTTAAAGCAGTTACAAGTTCAGAGAATATTTAGTTGTCTGTCTGTTCATCCATGCACCCATGTCCATTTATCCATCCATCCATCCATCCATCCATCCATCCATCCATCCATCTAATCATACATCCCCTAGGTGTCTCTTTACTCCCAGCTAATTTCATACAATCTACCATTGACCTCATATGGTCTTGTGTCTTCTAATAACTCCAAGTGTATATATTAGCTTTTCCAGTGAGACCGTAGTCTCCTGAGTGGAGAGAGAAAATCAAATACTTAAAATAAAATTTCATGAGAGTGTGGAGTAAAAAGCCAGGCACCCAAGAGTTGTGCACTATATCCTGTTAAAAGACAATGAGACCTGGGAAATGATCTGCCTGGCCTAACACGCAAAGGTCCCCAAGCAAAGCCCTCCTCTGCAAGCCTGCTGCAACGTGGCCATTCTCAGACTGTGATTTACAAGGTGGGCAGAACTGCCTCAATTACACAAAACACACAGCGCTGCCTAAGGAAAACGTCTGCCAATTGCAGTGGAGTCTGCTGACATTCCTTTTCAGTTCTTGGAGCTTCCAAACACCCCGCTTGCCCTCAGTCACAGGCTCACTCACCTCTGAGTCACCTTGCGCTCTTGTTAGCATCTCTAGTAACAGCTGTCACATTAGTGCAAAACCACACTTGATCCTCCAAAGCCTGGCTGCCATGTATTTTTTCCGTTCGTCTGCTTGTGTGCCAGACATTTAATGAGTAGCATTAAGTACCAGGCACTGGACTGGGCATGGGGGAATACAGTGGTGAGTAATATATATAATTACTGCTCTTCAGGGAAGCAGAGCCCTCAAGATAGACAACAGACAACCACAATTCATTATGACAAACATTGTAACAGTGGAGACACACAGAGGGCACTAAGCCTGTCTGTGAGTTGGGGGTGGTTTCACAGAGAAGGTACCTTTCCAGTTGATTCCTGGGGGGACATAGGAGTCCCCCAGGAGGCAAGGAGAGGAAGGACAGTCATGGCAGAAGGAATATTGGATGCAAAGGTAGGAGTGTAAGAATCCAGGACAGGCAATGGTGGAGAGAAGCTGGTGTCAGTGGAAGAGCATGGATGTGAGGCGGTGGAATTGGAAGAGGGTGCATGGGGGGGGGCAGGAGATGGGGCTACAACAAGTGAAGGATTGGGGTGTCTTACTTTGTAGGGGCAACAGGGAGTCGTTGAAGTGTTGGAGAGATATAATCATGTGTGTGTTTCAGGAACATCTTTCTGACATGGGGAATGGTTATGGGGCCATTGTAAATGTAGAGAAGAGATGCTAAGATAGTGGAAGAGGGTAGAGAGGAGGGATATAATTAATAGGAAAGATACTTAGAAGGTAGGAACAATAGGTGGGGCGCACACACACACACGGAAGGAAGGAGAGAGAGAGATGGGAAGATCGATCCCAAGAATTTCCAGTTCCAACAGCCTGGAAGATGGCAGCTTTGTTAAATGAGATGGGGAGTGTGGGAGAGAGTGAAGACTTCAGAAGGAATGTGATGTTGTGGGTTTGGGATATGTTGAACTTAGAGACTCCTGGGCAAGTCTGGAACTCAGGGGAGAGGGATACAGATGCGAATGGTGTTTCAGGGCTATAGAGCATCTCTGCATTTGACTCCCAGATGCACAATTCTAGGGTAAAACAGGGACCTTTATCTTCTTGAGCATTAGATGGGTTGGGGTTCAAGTTCTAACAGCCATAGTTTACCAACGGCCAGACCTCTCACAGGTTGGCCAGTAGCCTGCTTGCCCATCAGCTTGCTTGCCCATCTGAGCGATGGAGGACAGTAATATCCATCTGTGATGTTGATATGTCAATCTAAGGGGTTGTGGTGATGTTCTGAGGCACAGAGGCACTTTGTGACCAGCAGTCAGCATGGCACGGAGTTCCAAAAAGATCATTCTAAGCACTCAAGTGGGCTTTGTGCAGAGTTAGCTATTGCTAAGATTTTCAGTTTAAAGTAGGAGAAGAGCATTCTGGGAAATGCCTCCAGGCCAGGTGCAGGATCCACTCGGCTTACTGAGGCCCCTGTTCTCACCTTCCTTTGTGACTCCTGGAGGAAGGACACTGGGGTCCGAGATGCAACTTGAGCCTTCCCTTTCCTGGCATTCCAGAAAAATTTGGAAAAAACCCCAAAGCTTGCTGTCCACACAGCAGCCCTCGCCGATTACGGCAATTGCTCAATTACATGGTTCTCCATGAAGTGCAGATTACAGGGTTACTCAGCTAAAGGCTCGGTGCCCCGACCAGATACAACTAAATAAAAAAACATGCAAACGCTGGGCATTTTTCGGAGCATGTGGCAACATTTAGCTCTAGTCAGTGAGAAATAGGGACAAAACAGAACAAATGGGGAGTTTTATTTTTCTGTTTTCTTTTGCTTCTTGAGGGTATGAGTTGTCTGAGACCCAGGCGTGCTTATATAACGAACAAGCCTTGTTTGAAAATACCTGAAAAACATGCAGACTGTTTGCAATTTTTCCATGAGCGAAGTTCCAGTAGCCTGTTGCTAAGTCTGTGCCTTGGAACCTGGGGTTCGGTTTTGCATGGAGATGGTGGTATATAGGTCTCCGGTCCAGTCCAGATGAACAATCCTGTTCTAGCAAAGGACACCACCATCCGCCCAGGGTCCCGGCCCGAACGTAGTTTTGCAAACTTGATTATTTCATGCTATTACAGTTTGTTGCTTTAACTATTGGCGGGAATAAAGGTGTTCTGCTATGGCTCACTGCTTTCTCTTTCTCAGGGCTATTGCCACCCTTTTCCAAGTCCAGCTCTGTGGGAGACAAAGGTAAGTCTTGGAGATCCCTTTCGTTGGCGCACGAAACGCCCATTTTGCACATGTGCAGGCTCATGGGCAGGTGCTGGGGAAGCGCCAGGCCTCGCAGCTCCTACGAGGCAGAGAACAGCGGCAGTGAATGAGGCGTGGGGGCCGGGAGCACCCGCTCCAGCGCAGGCTCAGCCCGGCCCCGCCGCTCACGAACGGTAACCGTGGGCAAGTTTCTAAACACGGGTCATCTTTTGCTTCGTCACTGATAAAAGGGTGGTAACAGGGTGGAGGTCAGAAGGATCAGGACTTGGGAAGTCTTCAGCCCTGTACCTGGCACATAGTAAGAGCTCAGTTCATGAGTATGATTGCTCCCAATAAGTGACAGATCTGCTTTTCCCAAGTGGCACTGTGAATTGAGAGGGTGTCCCTATCTGCAGACTTAGTTTTTCAGCAAGACCTTGGGGGGTTGGATTTAGCAGAAAGCAGCTCAAACTTGGAGAGCTCTCACCACCTTCTGGGTCTATCAATTTGTGGAGCTGTTCTTATTAATGTTTCATCATATCTGTGTCTGCGGCATGATTTTGGCTCGTGGCTCAGTTTCCCTAGCAGACTAGAAGCTCCTTGACGGTAGGATTGAGATTTCTATCCGAGGGTCCTCCGGACTTCTCAGCCCTGGGCTGTGCACATGCCTAAGGAATGTTGGCCTGTGAATGGAGAGATGGGCAGCAGCTACCTGTGACGTGAGGCATTGGGGCTAGTTTCTAGAACGTTCAGAGAGTAGTTGTCCTAATCTTGGCCACGCTTTAAAATCACGTGTGGATAGAGTGACCAACCATCATCGGGTTTGCACAAATTCCAAGGACTCAAGACTTCCAGTGTTAAAACAGCCAGAACTGAGGAGTTTCCTGGGACTCGGGACTTTTAGAGCTGCAAGATGGGAAATTCTGCGAAAAGTGTCAAAGTCAGTCTTAGGAAAACTGGGTGTGTTGGCCATCCTATCCAGAGAGCTTTAAATCCTGCTGATGCCTGGGACCAGCCCCCAAAGCTTCTGATCTCATTGGCTGGAGCGAAGCCTGGGTATTCATGTGTCTAGTTCTCCAGGAGATTTTGAAGTTTAGAAAAGGGTGGGAACTATGGATGAGCAGAAGCTCCTGAGCTGGGTTCCCGTGCACACCGGAGCTGTGAACGCGTTACAGGTGCCTGAACCACGGCCCCTTCAGACTTACGGGTGCCGATGGCGTGAACAAGCTCGGGAAGCCCTGACCGGACCACGATGCGTGAAGGTGGTGAAGAGAAAGTATGTTACAAAAGAAAATTCCGGGCGCTGCCAAGACCCTGCGGGCTGGGACCCTACGCTGGAATCAGGCTTCCCCGGAGATTCTCGGGCACACCCAAATTCTAGAATCTCAGGGATGCACAGCCAGAGTGTATCACGAAGACACATCAGTAACGGCTTCAAGGAAATGCATCTGGGAAGGGTCCCACTTGCATTGACTTGGGCCCAGAAGGCAACAGGTGGGACAAAGGGACGGGAGCCCGAACAATCTTTCTTTATCACAAAATCCTCTGCTTTCCCCAGACGTTTTCCTGCCCTTGAAATGGGTATTTCTGACACCATGGCTGTGACCGGCTGCCTTCAGACCCTGCCCTACACCTCAGTCGCCGACCGTCAGGTAGGCCAGAGTTAGCCTCTTGGGGTCGAGGAGATGGACGTTCTCAATCCTCTGCTCCCTCCTGCCCTGGGAGCTTACGGTCAACGAGAGTGGAGCAGGGCTGTTTCTCTGCAGACCAGCGAGTGAGACACACAGATGCTCGTGACTGTGAACAGCCGAGTTTCGGGGAGGTTGGTTGTGCAGCATTTGCATGGCCAGAATGGACTCAGCCATCCCGCAAAAGGGGACAGAGTTGGCGTTTGTCACCGGTCTCCCTAAAGGACTTGGAAACCCCCTCGGGAAGGAAAGCTTGCTCACCGTGGTGGCCAGGGCCCGGAAAGGGGCGAAGACGCGCCCGAGCTGATAGCATTCGTGCCTGTTGATGTCTCCATAGCGACTGCGACGCTCCTTCCAGCCGGCCAGTCTCTCCGCCGCCTTCATGTCCAAGAAGTGCCAGAAAGGGCCCTGCTGGGACAGACGCCACGTGCAGCTGCGGCGAGGAGCCCAGAGAGCGCGTGTCCCGCGGCTCACTCACACAGGGCCCCTCGCCTCATGCCTCTCCTTCAGGAGGGGGACTGCCATTTGCTTTTCTTAATTTTCTGTGGCCGTGGGAGGTGGAAAAAAGGGCTGTCCCCCCCATGAGTTGCTGGGCAACCTCTCAGTTCATGGGGGGGGGATGCTCCACCACTGAGCCACATCGGCCAGGCTAGCCTAGGTTCTTGACCACAGGGCCCACCCCAGACATGCTCGGCTCCCCCTTGCACGCAGGGGAGGCACAGCAAATGCTGCCTCTCTCTACATGTTGATTCTCTTACACCCACCGAGGCAGGGGCATGGCTGGCGAGATGGTGGCGGTGGGTGGGTTCCGGCCTCTGGTGGCCGCCTGTGCCCGCCTTTCTGGCAGAGACACCTGGGAAATGGGGGGGTGCTGAGGAGTGGGCGGCTGGACACTCCGCAGGAACCTCATCCCAATTAGGGGGTTAGGCCGTTTCCTGCCTCCCACACAGCAGGAAGCGAACGTGTGTTGTTTTATTTCTTCCAGCGTTGGCCATGAGGAGGCCAGGCAGCTCTGGAGGCAGGCGGGACAGAGGAGCTGACCCAAATCAGAGGCCACTAGGGATTTTACAGGTCAACGTCCCCGGTCCCAAATGGAAACACCGAGACCCAGCAAGGTGAGAGGACTTTCCCGCGGTCCCTGTCACCTTCTCTTGCATCAGGTTTAAATTCACATAAGTAGCTTCAGGGTGGTGACTCCATTCCAAGGAAGGCAGCTCCCAGAGTTCACCTTGAAGACAGATGGACTGATGCCAGTGGGCCTTAATGGGGCCTGACCAGCCCCATTGCTCCGGGTCCAGCTGGAGCTGACCGAGAGCAGAACTGTATCTGCAGTAAAAGGTGAGTGAGAGCATCCCCCATCCCTGGACTCCTCTATCTGCTCCTTTCCCCGACTTACCATGTTTCCTCCCTTTAGGGAGTTCATCATCACCATCATCATCGCTACCATCACATTTTTAACAGAGGAGCCAAAATTTGCACGCACCTCCTTTCCTGCGTGGATCATCTCCCCTCTGTTCCTCTCCTGCCTTCCCTACTGCCTTTCAGGGCTCTGATTTTGGCTCTGATGAGACCTGTGTTCATTCTCTGTCTGCACCAGCTTCATTTCTTTGTCTGCACCAGTCTCATGTGGGGGCAGGAGATGATGGGGGTGGGATGGGGTCCATGGTAAAGAGAAACCATTGAGCCCGGCCCGTGTGGCTCAGTAGTTGAGCACTGACCCACGAACCAGGAGGTCAGGGTATGATTCCCGGTCAGGGCACATGCCTGGGTTGCAGGCTCGATCCCCAGCAGGGGCGTGCAAGGGGCAGCCGATGGGTGACTCTGTCATCATTGATGTTTCTCTCTCTCCCTCCCCCTTCCTCTGTCTGAAATCAATAAAAACATATTTAACAAAGGGAAACCATTAACTCCTGCTCCTTGGGACTCTGTCAGCCACTGCGCCTCATTTGCTCAGCTGACCCCTGTGGGGCACAGTCTCACTTCTCAGTCTTCAACGGATAAGGGACATAAGGGACCCTTGGAAAAGACTTACATCGTGTATCTGGAAGCTCTTTGCTAGGGGAGGAGACAGTTCCCAGCTTCGTCCCACAGCGCTGGTGCTCAGACTCGGGATTAATGGTGGATAAACAGGCCCCGGGGGGATCGGCAGCTTCCAGTCTGTTCCGAGGAGGCGAGGAGAGAAATGGCACGCTGTAGGGTCCCACGACAGGGCTCGCTCCCTCCCCGCCCCGCCCAGGGCCTATGTCTCTGGGTTTGGCCCCGCAGCATCACAGGCAAGAGGCTTCTACAGAAGGAAAGACCCTCAACCCGGGGCCAAGAATGAACTTGGCTCTTGCTGGGACATCGGTGGGGCCCGTAGGATACTCTGATCTGGAAGCTGAGGGTGTGGCGAGCGTGGTGGGCATGCCCTTCGCCAGGCGCAGGGTCGGGCAGCTGTCTTGCCAGGGACCCGTGAGTTGAGTTGATTCTCACTCTGGGGGGTTAGCTGAGTAGAGAAGATCATTAAGGGCTCCAAATGGCCGTTTAGTTAGGTGAACGAAAGAATGAATTAAGCGAGCCTCTCACTTTTCTGCACTTCTGCTGGGTTATTCTTTTACTTTCGTACAGAGGTCAGGAAACTCTCTCTGTATAGGACCAGGCAGTAAATATTTTAGATTTCATGGGCCATGCGGGCTCTGTCGCAGCTACACAACACGGCGACTACGCAACACGGCGACTCCGCAACACGGCTGTTGCAGCACAGAAGCAGCCCTCGACGCCATGCAAATAGGTAGGTGTGGCTATGTTCCAAAAAACTTTACTTATGGGCACTATAAAATTTCATATAGCTTTCATGTGTCACAAAATACTGTTCTTTCCACTTAAAGATGGAAAAACCATTTCCTAGTTCGCAAGCCATCCGGGAACCGGTCGCAGGACAAATTGGGCCCGAGGGCTGGAGTGTGCTGACCCTGCATTAGTGATGCTTTAATACACCTCCTGTTGCAAGGACACAAGGGCTGGTTTCCAAAATAGAAGCGAGCATTCTGCAGGCTTCTCAGCAATGTCAAGATTTGCATGCAAGCTGGACATCTGGCCCATGATCAAGCCTTCAACAAGCCAAGCCCAGGCCAGCCGGCCCAACTCAATGACAAAATCCAGGTTTGCACGGACCTTGAAGCCACCTGGTTTATATTCTAGACTTGATGTGTGACCGCTCTTAAAACCAACCTAGGGACAGAAGGTTCCCTTCTATCAAACAGGAAGGAAGGAAGGAAGGAAGGGAGGAAGGGAGGAAGGGAGGAAGGGAGGAAGGGAGGAAGGGAGGAAGGGGGGAAGGAAAGAACCCAACTCCTAGAGTAAACGAAGTCATCACTGTCCCTTAGTCGTTCACTTCCGTGCTGGCCAACATCCCGGGATGCGAAGCAGTCCCGCCTCGGCTCGGTGTCATCTAGCTTCCTGTTGTCAGACAGTTATTTGTTTCCCACATATAAGCAGCGAGGGGGTAAATAATGGCAAGGCTGGGCCTCTAGATTTCCTTTGCCGGTTTCCTCCCCCAGCCACGGCCTCGGGCGCTCCTTTCCTTCCCCCACACTTTAGGAGCTGCTGTGTGGAGAGCCAGGGCGGGAAGCTGGGTGGCAGGCCCCCGGGGGCACCTGGCAGCCCGAGGTGAAGCGCTGCTCTTCTAACAATTCAAAACCAGAGAGCAGAGTCAGCGGAACACAGCAGTCTCCCCGGCATGTCAGAGAAGGCATAAAAAACTAACTCAGGGCGACTCTGTGGGGTCCGCCAACACACTTCGTTTCTGAGATCGTTGTGGAATTCTGACATTTTAAAAACTTTCCTGGGTGGGAGTGGGGTGGTGGTGGGCTCGCGCCATGCCTTGAACACAGTAGGCTCCCAAGAAATGTGTATAAATCAGATGAAAGAGGTGGGGGTTTTAGAGAGGATTTTGTCTGCACAGGAACTTCGGTTTCCTTCCAGCTGAACTGTCTCTCGGGTTGTGTCTCAGGGCCTTGGAGGGGCCTGTGATGTTCTGGGGGCAGAGTTCCCCTTTAGACGCGAGGCGAAGCCAATCCAGCCTTCGCGTTGCACCAGCGGACCACCCATGGCTCTGTCTGCAGCAGCTGCGGCTGGCTCAGTGTTATCTTAAAGGAGGGACCCAGCTTCCCTGGGCTTTGCCAAAACCTCCTGGTCAATAGCCGCAGCGTCTGCTTAGTGCTGCGCTGGCAATCGCTCCTCAGCAGGGAACAGCCAGCAGGTAGAAGGTGCCAACGCCCCCCAGCTCAGGATGCCCCCCCCAGCTGGTGAGAGCCCCTGGGTATGGGACAAGGACCTGGGGGCTAGAAGGGGTGGGGGAGGGGGAGGCTGCTGCTTCCCGTCGCTCTTTTTCCTTATGAAAGAAATATTACGGCATTTGGGCAATTTTTCAGTTCCTATCCTGGGTAATAACTTTTCTTTGGGCTGGATGCTGGCGGGGGGGAAAGGAAGGGAAGTCGAAAAGAGGCTGTTCTCTGGAAGTGATTAAACCCTGGAGAGAAAGACAGAGTCACAGAAGACTGAGAAAGTTTTAGAAATGATTGCTCACAACCTAAAAGCGAGCTCCATGCCCTCGATCCTGAAAGCCCGTCTCTGGGACAGAAAGGGCCTCTTTGCGTCTCGTCATTAGATGCTGAGCTCGGGGAGGCAGAGCGTGGGTTCTTCTGATCTCTGAGGCCCCAGCACCCGGCCTGAAGGCTGGCATACAGCGGGCGCTTAATGCATGTAGACGACAGAGTAAACATGGAACGAGCAAGCAGACAACATGCTCTCTGGGCTATGTAGGCATTTTAATCTCTTCTCCACATTTTCCCAGCTTCTAGGTGAGCTGTCTGCTAAAATGGCAGGGTGCCTTGGAAAGGGGAGCGTGTGGTGAATTTCAATTTCTTTGCTGAAAGTCAATGGGGAAAAATGCTTTAGTGCCGCTCACATCTCTTCGGCTTGTCATGTCTTCAGCAGTTTCTCCTTAAGGGGAGTTTAGCTTTGGCCCCAGCAGCGGCTCTCATCCCTGGTGGTGTGTCGGAGACTCCTGGGGTGAGGGGCTTGAAGAAAATTCCAACGCAAGGACACACCCCAGGCCAAATGTATCCGAGTTTGGGCAGATGGGACCTGCCCAAGCCCCCTGGGTGATTCACACGTGAGCAGCCACCACTAAGAACCACTGGGCGAGAGTTTGAGTGACTGCAGGCGGCTTTTAGGGGTGGAAATGATAATCCCGTGGATTACAGTGTTTGATTGAAGTCAGCACTTTTTTTCTCTGACAGTGGCTTTCACAGGCCAAGAAAACTCAGAGTCTTTGTATCCAAAAGCCATTTAGTTGGATTAAAGCTTTATGGCTGTTTGCCAACTTCTGCGTGGGGCGGGGGGTGGGGAGTATTAGTGTCAGCGAAACGCCTCGACTTTTGTAGCAGATGCTCAAAGATGCTAAAATAATTATAGCAGCTGCTGCTGGCCGGATACGTCCTGTTACAGTTACCAACTCGTTTAGCCTTCAAAGCAACCATTTGGGACAGGTCCCATCAGTATCTCCAGGACATAGGGTGTGGTAGGCAGAGTCCTAAGGTGGCCCCAAGATTCTGCCCCAATTATGTGTTGCCTGCATTACCCTCTCCCTTTGGGTGTGGGCAGGACCTATGAATATGATGGGATATCACTTATGATTATGTTACATTATGGCGAAGATGAAGGAATTTTGCAGGTGTAATTAAGGTCTCTAATCAGTTGACTTTAGATTAATGAAAAGGGAGCTTATCTTGGGTGGGCCTGACCTCATTAGGTGAGCCCTTTAAAAGAGGGTTGAGAGGTTACACTCAAGTCTTGCTGGCCTTGCTTTTTTTTTTTAAATCCTCACCCAAGGATATGTTTTTATTCATTTTAGAGAGAGAGGAAGGGAGAGAGAAAGAGAGAGAGAGAACCATTGATGTGAGAGGAAAAATCAATCGGTTTTCCCCCATACACACCTGATTGGGGATCGAACCCACAACCTAGGTATGTGCCCTGACTGGGAATCAAGTCTGCAACCTTTTGGTGTACAGGCTGATGCTCCAACCAACTGAACCTCCCAGTCAGGGCAAGCTACTGACTGCCGCTCTAACACTGCAAGTAAATGGATTCTGTGTGTGTGTGTGTGTGTGTGTGTGTGTGTGTGTGTTTGTGTATGAAAGTTCATTGGTGGGGAAGGGGTCTTGGAAAGTTATTGCTTTCCGGTGCGCCTGGAATGTGGATGTGATGCGCAGAGGTGAGCAGCTATCTGTGATCATGAGGATTAGAAGAAGTAGAAAGCTATATGAACAGCTTGGGTCTCTGATGTCATCAGGGAGCCACCTACCAGCTCTGCACTGCCTTCCTCTGGACATCTTGTCATATGGGGGAAATACGCTCCTCTTTCTGTTTTTCATTTTATGCCTTCAGCCCAAATGCAATTTTGTCTGATGTAAAAATCTACATCATAAGGTATTTGAAAATACTTGGTAAACTGTCCAGTGTTAACATGGGCAAGGAATAACCCAGCATCTGTATAATATAAGAATCCCTTTCTAGAGTTGTAATCAGTTTGAGGGAAAGGACAGGGACACCTCACTTCAGTACTGACTCATGAGAAGTATGGAGAATGGCGTGGGATGGGATGTAGAGAGGCTAAAATAGAATTTAACCAGAGCAGCAAATCGCTCTTTGGGCCTGACATATTTAATTTTGTCTGAGGCAGAGCAGGCCTGAATAGGAGTTTCTTTCTGTCTCTAAGCATCCCATACCTGAGTGTCTGAGATCTAAAAAAATAGATACAGGTTTGGGGTAAGATGAGCCAGCGCCTATGCCAGAGAGTCATCTCCTGCATCACTAGACACAGGATCTGGAACAAGAAGGGACAGACCTACTTATTTCTTTCTGATCCAACCACAGCTGAATCCCTGAATTCAGCTCAAGGGCACGCGGGCAAACTGCAGCTCATTCGAAGAGCAGAAGGGTGAGAATGCTTAGTTTTAGAAACTAAAGCTCTGTTACTGGGGCCATGACTGAAGGAGGTGAGGGTAATTAGACCGAGGAAGAGTGAACCCAATGAGGGGCATGGCCGTTATTTCCAATTATCTGAAGGGCTGCCATGCAGCAGAGGGTAGGACTGGAAATTGCGATGAAACTTCTGGGTGGGGGGCAGGATTGGATTTGGGTTCATACATGACACTAACAGCCACAGCTACCGAAGACAGAGGGCCCACCTCAGGAGATGGTCCCGTGGCGGGTGACATTTAAGCATGGATTGAACTACCGTGTGCGGGGATGTTGTATGGGGACCCCACATGCATTCATTCACGTGTTGGTTCCTTCTCTCCATGACTTCATCCTGGACGACTTCAAGAATTATTTAGTGCCTACTATGTGCCAGGCTCTCAGTGATCAGACTACAGCCTTTAAGATCTCCCCCAACTTTGTGATTCTTTGATGCTCTGAGTAGGATGAGCTCCATCTTGCAAAAGGAAAAAACAACAACCAAGGCACTAAGGTCTGGGGCGAGCCGCACAGAGCCGCACAGCATGTAGGAGGCGGGCCCTCCCTTCTTCCCGAGCCTTCGCTCTATCTACTCTCCCTCCTTTGTCAATCGTTTGTTCTTTTCAGAAAAAAACAAAAACAAAAACAAAAACCAAGCCATGCTGGGCTCAACCCTCTAGCCGTGGTGAGCCTGTGCAGGCAGGAGGCTCAGTCACTCAATATTGGTCTCAGCGATGTGTTTTCCTGCCTCTGACAAATTGGAGCACGCCCTCCCTTTGATCTGCAGCCTTTCACGTCTCCCCAGATACCCCCGAGCAGGAGCGGGTTATAGGCAAGGGCTGAGGTTCGCATTTCATGCAGCACATGGCTTCTGACTGGGGAGTGGCTGCGGGTTCTTCGGATGCAGTCACCCCCGCCGTTCCCTGCACTGAGATTCCAGAAATTGCTGTGGAAACCGCACATTTCCAAGCAAGCCCATCTCTTTTTAAACATTTCTGAATCCCTGCCCCCCGCCCATGCTCACTCCATCACTCCACTGCCAACCTTTGCATCTTGCGTGCATGGGTCTTTCCTGCCAGGACCTCTTGCCCGGCACACCCCCATGGGCTTGGGAGTCTCATCAGGCCACGAGGGCCATCTTTGCCAGGGCAGCCTGGCACTCCCCAAGCAAGCAGGCCCATCCAGCTCAGGCCGCCTCTGACGTCGCAGAGCGCCAGGCTCACCAGACGCAGCGAGAGCAGACTGGCGGCTGTGCAGGACCGCCCGGCGCGGGCCAGAGCATCTGCTGGAAAACGCGCTTTGTAATTTCCTGAGCCTTCCAGGGTCAGGAGTGGGCAGAAACCCCACAGTGGAAGAAAATCCTAATCACTTTTAAGTGGGAGGTAAATAAGAAACAGATGAGCTCACATGGAGCCGACTGTGGATCCTGAACTGCAGGCTCCCAGGATAAATGGTCCCCAAATGTCCAAAGCCCGGCCTTCTCAGGAAGCCAGCACTGACATCCTGAGGCAATTGATTTGGCCCAGGCTGGACCATAAGTGGGTGGGGGCTGTGTTCCAGCTCCCCCTCCCCCAGCACCGCTCTCTAAGGCTGCAGATGAGCTGGAGAGTGGAATGGGCCCCTGAATATATTCGCTGCATGAGTGTCTTGGATCATTTGCATTGATTTTAGCCACTGACGTAGTTCAGCACCTGGCACAGTGTCCAGCCCCGAGTAGGTGCTCAACAAATACGCTGAACGAAGGAAGGATTCCATTTCTGTGTCCCCTGCACTCCCTGAAGTTCTTGTCACTCAGCTGGCTTTTTATAAATGATTGCTGCAGGAAACCAAGGTAACAAAGCCAAGGGGACTTTGACCTCTAAACGGAACTGGAGAGGAATATAAATTGGGGAGGCTGGAAGAGGGGGAGAATCAATACAGCCGTGTGGAGGTGTCTGGAAGCCGTCGGTCAGGGGCAGATCCTCAGCAAGCGTCCGAGCTGGGAGGCGGGAGTAGCCAGAGTTTCTCCCACGGGCCTCGGAAGTTTCCAGCTCATTCTGAACTCCGTGTGCAGCGAAGGCCCTGCACTGGCTTTGCTGAGATAAAGGGCCTCTCTCCCGTCTCTCTCCTCTCTCTCCTACTGTGGCTGCATTTTTTTCTTACCCTGCAATTCTCCTTAATTACTAGCTACCGTCTTGAGGAGTAGGACCGGGCTTTGCAAAAGACCCATTTTCCAAGCCCGGCCTTACCTGGTTTACATGGTCACAGCTTTCACTGTTCGGAATGTGACTAGAACCAAGAAGACTACGAGGGAATTGAAACTGTGATTTTCAAAAAGTGAGCAGTGTTGACGCCATTAGACGCCTTTTCTGATTCTGTGAGTAGGGCCCTGGAGGTAATTAGGAGAACTGACGTGTCCCTTTTGGCAGCTGCAATTCGTCACTCTGTTCAACACTTGGAGCGACAGCTCTACGTGAATGACCACAAAGGGCTGCATCTGCCAGTTAGTAAATGAGGCTTAAGATAACTTTTCACCTAAGAAATACCCCCTTGCCTTTCCCTTCTCTATCAGCAAGGCACACTTAGCAGAAATATCATGCAGATGTATTTGCAAAAGGTTTGATTTCTTTAGCTAGAGAGACGGGGAAGTGCGAGAAGTCTCGCCTCGATGCCGTCCCCAGCTCTCCGGGCACCGATATCACAGGCTACGCCGTATGTCACAGGCTACTCCATACACTTAGCTCCAGGTTGGTAAGTCGGAGCTCCGCGAGCCACAGGCAAGGGTATGATTAGTTCCTCAGAGCCGAGATGCCTCCTTGGCGAGAGGCTGCTCCCTGCCTTCATGGGATGTGCCTGGGGCTCAGGTGTGTGCTTCGCCGGGCTGAGAGACTGAGCCCAGCGTGGAAGGGTCCAATGAACGGAGCGAGGGTTTGTGGGCCCCTGGCCAGGACCGGGCCATCCCGTGGAGACGGTGCTCCCCGCTGCTCCTTCCAAGTCAGATTCTCTCACGGAAAGCATGAGGCTGGCCCTCTGGGACCCAGGACACAGTATGTGGCTACTGAGCTCATTGACATGCACAGCCTGTGGTTTCATTGGAAGCAATTCTCTTTGGCCCAACACCAGATAATACCTAAGTATGGAAATCAGAGCTTTTGAGCCAGGAGTCCTCACAAACAGCAGGAGCTCTGCAGAACTGCTCTTTACAACCTTAATTGTTTCCTATTGCATCCGCTCTGCCCTTGGCCCGAGAGGCTCCAGCTCCAAGACCCCGTTTCATAAAACCCAAGGATGCCTGCAGGTGACCGGGACCGGGTCGGCAGCCCTGGGCTGGCCCTACCTTTGGTGTCTCTTCGCGGTTCTGTTTTGCTGAGAAAAGGGCCTTCCTTGGTAGACTGGTCACCTCCTGCCTCCTTTGTTTTGTTCTCACTGGTCTGGGCGCCGTCCCCCTTCTGCAGCGGCCGACCCCTTGGCCAGGCCCGGCCTTCAGGCAGCTCCTCGTGTTTCCTGTGCTCCTTCCTCCTCTCCCGGGGACTCCAGACATAAGGCAATAAAATAAAAACCACACTGTCAGGAGTGATGCTTTGACTGATTCAACAGCCCCATAGGAGTGACCCGCGCGTGAGTGGTCAGAGAGGAAGGAGCTGCAGTGGGAGCCCTGACTTCATGAACGCGTATTTAATCTGGAAGGAAAATGAATGGGTGCTTTCAGCTTGTTTTTACATATTTGCATATAGTCAGAACGACAGAAGGGTGGGAATATCTCCCGAGCAGCAGGACAATTGGAGAACAGGTGTTCCACCTATAACACTTCCAGTGTTAAACACGTGTGTGTGCATGCACATGCACAGAGATGCACACACACAGAGATGCACACACACACAGATGCACACACACAGATGCACACACATACACATGCACACACATGCATATGCACACAGATGCACACGCATACACAGAGATGTGCACACACACAGATGCACACACACAGAGATGTACACACACACAGAGGCGCACATGCACACACACATTAGAGGGAAGACAGTGCTTACAGGGATGAAACACAGGAGGTCGGGAAACATCTAAGAGCTAGTATTTCATTTTTATGGAGCAGGATTAATATACTGCAGGCTAAATTGTGTTTTCTGCTTCTTTCCCCCCATTTCCCATCATATCAATTATTTGTTTACATTTGGGGAGAGTATCAAACACAGTCCTTCAGTGACTCTCCAACATCCAAGTCACCCCACTTGGCGAGACCCACAAGTCCTTCCTGGCCCCGCCTGCGCACTCCTCCATCCTGCCCTCCTCGCCTCCCCAGCCTGGCGCTGCTTCCCCCGCACACCACCCAGTGCCCCCAGCGTGCTGCGGGCTCTCGGCTGCTGTGGCTCGGCTGGTGTTCATCCCTCTGCCTAGAATGTACCACTCTCCTTCCTCCCTCCTCTGCACCCCCCTGCTCCCCGCCACCTCCTGTGTGCCACTTTATGGTGCTGTCCATGATGCCCCTCAACTCTCACCTTAGATGTAGACCTGCCCTCCCTCTAGTCTCCATTACCTTTAAAATATCTCCATTCTAGTCATGACCAATTGTGCAATAAATGGTCCATTTTTGTGCCTATATCCACTATTAGATTTTATGTTCCATGAGGTCATAGACTGGATCTTATTCATCACGGTATCCCTAGTATGTAGGATTGTATCTGGTTCAATCCATACTGGATGGATGGGTGTGTGGATGGATGGGTGTGTGGGTGGGTGGATGGATGGATGGATGGATGGGTGGATGGATGGATGGATATGTGGATGGATGGATGTGTGGGTGGATGGATGGATGGATGGATGGATGGATGGATGGATGTGTGGGTGGATGGATGGGTGGATGTGTAGGTGTGTGGATGGATGGATGGAAGGATAGATGACAAAGTATTAGGTGAAGGTAGAGGGGAACATAAGACAATAGATTCAAAATATTAACCAGGTGGAAGGGAGAGTCGCGAGTGGGGGCATGTTCAATCAGCCCCAGGTCCACAGTGATGACCAGACTCAGGAGCAGATAGTCAAGGGGTTAGCAGATAGTCTGTACCCATGAAGGTTGCATCTGGGGTTCGTTAAGACTATCCTGCTACAGTGAGGGCTCAGAGAGCAGGACACGATTGTGCTTTGGCATTTTGCAGTCAGCCCATCTGCAGATGCACTGAGTTGTAACGTCTTTTGTGAAAGAAAGCCAAAGAAACTTAATCCGAAAACCAGCATCCTAGAGGTAATAATTAGAAAAAAACGATTAAGGATTTAGAAACAAGAGTGTCCCCACTGGGAGCTTTAGGTTAGCACCAGTTATCGAACTCTCCTCGCTGACGCGTTGGACAGAAACCTGACATTTTCTCCAAGCGCGCAAATCAAAAACAGTGCATCGTCGTTGTCTTATGAGTTTAAGCCGGGTCTCTGAGTTGTGGTTTCTGAAAGCTCCGTTCACCTCTCTGTTTCTCTTGCTCTTCTCAAAAGATCCATCTGAAGCAGTTTGTGTGCTGGGCAGATTTTTAGAAAAACAAAACTCTTCAGCCTAGAACATCTGCTCTATGTGTGATCGCTGATACTCCAACTTTTCTAGCAAGTTGCAGCATTCAAACTGACGACCCTGAGGCATATTTTGGCACATGAAGTAGATCAACACTCAATAAATGTTACGATACATGTCTCTAGTGCCCCATTCAAGGAACTTAAAGTGCTCCACTCACTTCAGGATGCTTGTGTAGAGAGTTGTAGCTAAGTGTTACCATCTACCAGGCCCAGGCGGATATGCGAATGTGCGTGCGCCCACGGGACAAACAGGGCCACCAGGTGACTGCTGGGGAGCTGGGGAGCGCATCCTGGCACATAAAAATTATACTCAGAAAACGTCAAAAACACAAGAATGCTTTTTCAGGGGCCCCACGTACAGGGAACTGCCCAGACTCCCACCTGTTTCAGATTAAATGTGTTTATTATCTCTGCATGTCGCGCCCAGCTCAGCATAATCAGTTAGAAAACATCTCCTGTGATTTTAACTGAAAGCATGTTTTCATAAGTTCAACGGGCTGTTTGCTTTCCCAACCAGGCAGACACTTCTCCCCTCGCTCGGACTCTGGAATGCGCTTTGCTGGAGCCATGGGAGGGTGTTTGTGGGCCCCGCTCCTTCAACACACCTTTTCCGTTCCCTTCCGTCTCAGGCCCTATGCGGGGTGTCAGGCGCAGGCACCTATGAGTAGCAAATACGTAAGTGAAGTAATTGTAGTTTATGAAGGGAAATAAACAAGGGAGACGGACTAACTGTCAAGGACCCCCTTTTGGGTTGGGTGGTCAGGAAAGGATCTTTGCGCAAAAGAATTAGGAGCTAAGACCATTCAGAGAGAAAGTGGGAGGTGAATATTCCAGGCAGAGGAAAGGGCAGTTGTAAAGGCTTTGGGCTGGTCAAGGGTTTGTAATAACTGAGGAAGAGAAAAGAAGCCAGCATGGTGAGAAGAGG